CGCAGCCTTATTTTTGATTCTCTTGACCTCAGGTCATCTGCCTTTTTTTTTTTTTTTTAAATCAGACAAACCCAACTCTGCCTGCAAATACTTGTTCCCGCAGAGGTTTCCAGGTGACCCTTGCTGATGGGTGGGCAGGGGCCTCAGGGGCTGGGCCCTCAGCGTCTTGCTGTCACAAGTCGGACCCTGCTCAGTCCCACGTTACCTGAACTCATTCTCAGCGTAAACCATCATTCTAGCTTGGAACTACAAGGCAACAGCCAGGAGGTTTGATTACTGTTAGTCATTGGCTGTGGATTGCCCAGCTAAAAGGCTTGACGCGGCATTGATTGGCCAGCAGAGCTTTCCAGAGTTAGCTACCGAGTGAGTTCATTTATTCCTCGGCAGCCACCTTGAGGATGGGGGATAAGTAAGGTCTGGTCCCTTCTCTCAAGGAGAGTTTTGAGAAGCCCTGTTTTTCCACAGCACATTCCCATATTGTTCTTACCCTCAGAAGACAATCAATATATGGGGGCGGTGGTTCCCACTTAGCCGCCCAATGTTTACCTTGCTTTTCCTTCATCCCACCTGCTCCTGTCCTCCTTGCCCCTTTCACGTGGTACCTTCTCAGCTATAGTCACGGTTAGGTCCAGCAGAAACACCTACTCTGTGAACACTGAAACTTGGTTCTGAGTGGTTTATTCAATTTCCACTTGATATTGCCCCGTCATTGCCCTATAGCAGGTTTGTGTGTCCTAAAAGCTGCAAAGAACATCTTAGGATCTGGCTTCTGACAGCCACCAAGTTGAAATTTCATCCTGGCCATGCGCAGTGGCTCAAGCCTGTAATCCCAGCACTCTGGGAGGCCGAGATGGGCGGATCACGAGGTCAGGAGATCGAGACCATCCTGGCTAACACGGTGAAACCCCGTCTCTACTAAACAAAAATACAAAAAACTAGCCGGGCGAGGTGGCGGGCGCCTGTGGTCCCAGCTACTCGGGAGGCTGAGGCAGGAGAATGGCGCGAACCCGAGAGGCGGAGCTTGCAGTGAGCTGAGATCCGGCCACTGCACTCCAGCCTGGGCGACAGAGCGAGACTCCGTTTCAAAAAAAAAAAAAAAAGAAAAGAAATTTCATCCCTTTCAGGGCTCACGTAGAGATGGAGAGAGATGCTGGAATTCCACTGCAGTTTCTATTTGAACGCAATAGAATATGGATTTAGAAACTAACATCTGAACTTCATTTAGAAAATGGAGCCCTTCCTAAACCTCTTGGCTGTGGTGGGGCCCTCTTCAGATGGCACTGTGGTATTAGCAGTGCTGTGTTGGGCTTGGCTTGATGGTGCCTTTCAGCTATTACTGAACCTCTGCTTGGAAGACTCTCCTCTTGTGCTGCCAGCAAGAGTGACTCCTCCCCCACTGTGTCCCTCCCTTCCTCCCCTCCCTGCTGTCTGGTGTCATTCTGAGCAGCGAGCTTCCATTAGCTTTCGTCCTCGAATCATTGTCACAATCAGGGCATTTTGTTTTATTTTGTTTAAGAGACGGTCTTGCTCTGTTACCCAGGCTGGAGTGCAGTCACATTATCATAGCTCACTGCAGCCTCAGCCTCCTGGGATCAAGCGATTCTCCCACCTCAGCCTTACACGTAGCTGGTACTACAGGCAGGCACACCTGCACCTAATTTTTTGTTTTTTTGTAGAAACAAGTTCTCACTATGCTGCCCAGGCTGGTTTCAAACTCCTGAGCTCAAGCGATCTTCCTGCCTCGGTCTCCTGAAATGCTGGGATTACAAGTGTGAGCTACCATGCCTGGCTGAATTTTCTGCTTTTGAATCACACTCCTTACAATTTATTCTCCATCACTGTTAGAAAGCATATTTTGGCTGGGTGCAGTGGCTCATGCCTGTAATCCCAGCACTTTGGGAGGCTGAGATGGGGGGATCACTTGAGCCCAGGAGTTTGAGACCAACCTAGCCATAGTGAGACCCCATCTCTACAAAAAATACAAAAATTAGCTGAGCATGGTGGTACGCACCTGTAGTCCCAGCTACTCTCAGGAGGCTGAATTAGGAGGATTGTTTGGGCTCAGGAGGTCAAGGCTGCAGTGAGCTGTGATGGCACTACTGCACTCCAGCCTGAGTGACAGAGCACTCAACCCTGTCTCAATTTCTTTTTTCTTTGAGACAGAGTCTCGCTCTGTCACCAGGCTGGAGTGCAGTGGCGTGATCTTGGCTTACTACAACCTCTGACTCCCGGGTTCAAGCGATTCTCCTGTCTAAGCCTCCCAAGTAACTGGGACTGCAAGCATGTGCTACTGCGCCCAGCTAATTTTTGTATTTTTAGTAGAGACGGGGTTTCACCACGTTGGCCAGGATGGTCTTGATCTCTTGACTTCATGATCCACCTCGCAAAGTGCTGGGATTACAGGCTTGAGCCACCGCGCCTGGCCCCTGTCTCAATTTTTTTAAAGTTTTTTTTTTTTTTTTTTCCTTAAAGCGTGGTTTAAAAATATGCAGCTTCAATATATTCAGAGTCTTAGGCTCTTTATAGTTTTATTTTCAAACAAAACCACTTCTTTTATTTATTTATTTATTTTCGGGAGGATGAAGTCTCGCTTTGTCTCCCAGGCTTGAGTGCAGTGGTGCCATCTCGGCTCCCTGCAACCACCACCTCCCAGGTTCAAATGATTCTCTCACTCAGTCTCCCGAGTAGCTGGAACTACAGGTGCCTGCCCCTACACCTGGCTAATTTTTGTAATTTTTTTTTTTTTTTCCCCGTAGAGACAGGGTTTCACCGTATTGGCCAGGCTGGTTTCTAATTCCTGACCTCAAGTGATCTGCCTGCCTCAGCCTCCCAAAGTGCTGGGATTATAGGTGTGACTTCTTTCATATTTATTCATTCTGTGAGAAGCATAGCAGTTCGTAGACCGTTTTCAGGGGCTATTAATTACTAGATCTATTCTTCACAGGCTTGAGAAGTTATGCTTGCTCTGAGTCTCTGTAAGTGGATTCATTTTTGCTGAGAGTGAGGAAAGTGGGTTAAGAAGAAGGAGTACATCATTATCTCATGAGTAGATACTTTCCTGGAAGGAAATTCATGAGTTGATGGACCGTGGAATTTGGGAGGCCCCGGAGGAATATTGGTCTATTTATTAAAACGCTAACTTAATGGTTTATTCCTGATGATGGTTATGTGGTCAGTAGCTCATTCTGGGGAGCTACTGGCGGCCTGGACCTAGAGAAGAAGTCTGTTTATGAACTACAGGTTGCATATCCCTAATCTGAAAATCTAAAAGTTTTTCTAAAAATTTGTATTTATTTTTTTGAGACAGGGTCTCGCTCCTATTGCCCAGGCTGGAGTGCAGTCGTGTGATCGCGGCTCACGGCAGCCTCGACTTCCTAGGCTCAGGTGATTCTATTTTTAGTAGGGATAGGGTTTTGCCATGTTGCCCTGGCTGGTCTGGAACTTCTGATCTAAAATGATCTGTCCACCTCAGCCTCCCAAAGTGCCGGGATTACCGGCATGAGTCACTGTGCCTGGCCTGAAAATCCAAAACTTTTGGGTGCCAACATGAGACTCAAATAAAGATCTACAATTTCAAATAAGGGATATGTCATTGGTAGAACAAAGTGAACTGAGTTGCACAGACTTTGGCCTCATTAACTCCTTGTTACTTACAGTATATTGTTTGACATCACATATTCCTAATTCTTTGTTTGCAGCCTGAAACCAAAACATCAAAAGGTCCTTCAAAGAAACATAAAATGCTGTATGTGTCTTATGGATATTATCTTTGATATATCCATATCTATATACATGCAAAAGTAATTATTTGATATTGAGGGTAAAGTTGCTGAAAAGTGTCAATGGCTCTAGAAATATTTTGTATAAAAGGATCAGGACTATGTGACGCATTTAACTGTTGCCAGTAGATTTTACGTCCTCAGAATAGAAATAATCTCATCCCCAGACACCTCCAGTCAAATGTTCCAGTAATGCCTCCCACCTGCCACTAGCCATAATCAGGTTCACAGGTATGTAGTAAGCTGAAGATCAGACACATCGGCCCAATGTGCTAAACATTTTTATTTGTAATAAGACTAAAATCGTTATTGCCAACAATAAACTTACCCAGTGCCCATGGCTTCTTGGTCCTCACTGATACACGTAAAAAGCCGACACACTTATTCATTAAATTACTTATTCATTTGTTTGGGTAAAACAATAAGCTGATGCTAATCTTGGGCTGAAACAACTTTCCTGAACAGGTTATGTGGGTCATGAATTTATTTTGGACACGAGACCCTTCAAAAAGTCTGCAAATATTGAGGCTGTGGATGTGGCCAAGAGACTCCAGGATTATGGTAAGTGGCTTTTGACATTCATGCCGCCGCCCATGCTGGCTGTGGACAACTTCCTAATGCACAAATGGAAAGTGCAGGCACCACAGTAAACTGATCTGGGGGATAAATGGGGAGCTCAGGATTCTTGGCAACCTCCAAAATAATAGAGAAAAAAGTTTCCTTATGACTGCATTGGTCCTGCCCTTCAGAAGATATTAAAATATGCATCTTGAATCCATTAACAGCCAAGAAAAGAAGTGTTTATGATTAAAATTGAAACCCCAGTGAGTTGTAGTGAGTGTAGTGGTGAAGGAAGCAGAGCAAGTAACCAGCCCATCGAAGTGGTAGAGACAAATGGCATTGGAGTTTTATAGCCACCTCCGTCATGGCGTAGCTGTTTCAGCTGCTTCTGGAGATGAAGAAATAAGTGTAGCAGTTTTCACAAAGAAAATGCCTCTTTCTTTGAAGCATTTTGAAAGACATGGATCCTTCACCTGTGCATTAGTGGGTGTTCATTCAACTCAGCTCACTACATTTTCCTAGTGAACAATGTTATTAATATTATAATATTAAGATCGTATTGCTTTTTAGGGGGTTGGGAAGACAGAGTCTCACTCTGTTGCCCAGGTTGGAGTGCAGTGGTGCGATCTCAGCTCACTGCAACCTCCACCTCCCAGGTTCAAGTGATTCTCATGCCTCAGCCTCCCAAGTAGCTGAACTACAGGTGCCCACCACCATACCCAGCTTTTTTTTTTGTATTTTTAGTAGAGACGGGGTTTCACCATGTTGGCCAGGCTGGTCTCGGACTCCTGAGCTCAGGCAGTCCACCTGCCTCAGTCTCCAAAAGTGCTGGGATTACAGGTGTGAGCCAGCACGCCCAGCCAATATTACTATTATAATAATATGAAAATGATATTAATGGTATCAAGGATCTTTCAATTCTCAGAAAGGCTAAGTTGGGGAGAACTTTGCCATTCGATGGATATGGAGTCCTATCTGAGTTTTAATGACTTGTTTTGGGAAGAAAAGAGAAAAATCTTTTAAATTTAATAGTTTCACTAATGCATCGTAATGGGAATCCCACGTGTGTGACTCACTCTCAAATGAATGATCTTATTATGCAGTTACACTGATAATAGATGGGAAAGCCAGAGAAAGGCTTCATTAATGAAATTACCAATCCCATCCTCAAGATCTCCGCTTGACACCTCTTGTAACCTCACAGTAGAACTCCTTTCTCCTGACAGCCTCCCGGCTAGTGATTGGGTAATGGCCGTTTCAGGATAAGACACTCACTTTGTGGATGCCTTGCCTACTTCACACATCTAACTGCAACAGCATTTGCAAGGAGAGGAGGGGCTCACAGGGAAATGGTAACTGAAGTTACCACCCAGTGTTTCCAAATCATGTTGTCTCTCGATCTCAGTGTTATTTTGATGATTGATAGAACCGTTTCCACACTTGTCCAAAAGCCCAGAATTGTCCAGGTGCCTGGCATACAGTAGGCACTCAACACCTAGTATTAATAAATGGGAGACCAAATGGATAGCTAAGTCAAAAAGCAAGGAACATGACAACACAGTTTCCAGGTCTTAAGCATAACTGCTAAATGTGAATTTTTAAGGAAGAGAGCTAATAATCTGTATATTTAACACACAGCTCCTGTATGAGTCTTTCAGGCAAGTTGGGGGCATACTGCCTTAGACAGCAGTTCCAGGCTAATTATCAGACCTATTGTCAGAATCACCTGGCATGTTTTATGACTCATAGATTTTTGGGCCCTACCTTGGACTTCCTGAATCAGGGTCCAGATGCAGGAATTTTTTTTGCAAGAACTCAGGTGGTTCAAAATATGGGAACCACTACAGCAGAATATGTTGGACTAAATTTGCTCACACAGGGAATTAGGGGCAGACATGATAGGTAATCAGCTTATTCTCTTAAAAAAAAATCCCAGTCTGGTTTGAGTGACAAAGGTATATGTATTTACCAAAACTCATTAAGTGGTACAGTTAGGATCTGTGCATTTCACTGTAAGTTTTATCACAAAAATATGTGAACAGATATTGAATTCTAGTCATGATATGTATGCTGAAGGGTTTAAGAGTGAAGTGTACTAATGACTGCAGTGTACTTTGAAATGCATCAGAAAGTAAGGCAGATAGCTGGATGAGTAGATACGTGATAAAGCAAACAACGGCATTGTAGAATCTAGGTGGCGGGTATATGGGTGCTCACCTACAGTCCTTTCAACTCATCTGAATGTTAGTGGGTTTTTTTTGTTTTTTGTTTTGTTTTGTTTTTAAATAGAGACAGGGTCTCACTCTGTCACCCAGGCTGGAGTGCAGTGTTGTGATCTTGACTCAATGCAGGCTCAACTCCTGGGTTCAAGTGATCCTCCCAACTCAGCTTTCTAACTAGCTGGGACTACAGGCACATACCACTACACCTGGCTAATTTTTGTATTTTTTGTAGAGACGGGGTTTTGCCATATTGCCCAGGCAAGTCTCAAACTGCTGGGCTTAAGCAATCCGCTGGCTTTGGCCTCCCAAAGTGCTGGGATTATAGGTGTGTGAGCCACAGCGCCTGGCCTGAACATTTTTAAATAAAATGTTGGTAGAGAATTTTTTAAATCATGCAGATGTGACTCGAAAGTACCCCATGTAATTATGATGCTCACCAGAATTTGAGAACCACTGCACATTGGGGCAAGATTAGTTCAGAGGTGTCTCAACTTGGGAGTTGTTCTTCAGCTTTTAAAAGTTTCATAGGGCCGGTGCGGTGGCTCATGCCTGTTATCCCTGCATGTTGGGAGGCAGAGACAGGCAGATCAGTTGACCTCGGTAGCTGGAGACCAGCCTGGACAACATGGCAAAACCCTGTCTCTGCAACAACAAAAAAATTAGCCGGCTATGGTGGCGTGCACCTGTAGTCTCAGTTACTTGGAAGGCTTAGGTGGCAGGATCATTTGAGCCCAGAAGGTTGAGGCTGCAGTGAGCCGTGAGTGTGCCAGTGTACTCTAGCCTGAGCAATAGAGCAAGATTCTGTCTCAAAAAAAAAAAAAAAACTTCATAGAAAAAATACAAGAAATGGAAAATGTTGTTTTTGATTTTTGTCCTGGAAATCTCTCTCTTGACTATGTGTCTTGTTGCATCACCTTACGTGCAAACCTTTGGAAACAGAAACACACTGAGCCTGTGTTCAATGTAAAGGCAAAGGCTTTCCACATAGTGGCCAAACTTCAGTTTCCTTATTGTACAAAATGGGGACAATAAGATTTGCTCCAGAGTCCTTAGCTCTTGTTATCTCATTATTTAACTTTTGATAAGCTATATTTTTATTTCTCTTAATTACAAGTAATACATGATAATTACTGAAAGATTCTAAAGTATAATCGATGTGAAATAAAAATCCCAGTCTCATTTTCTGGCCATAGTTACAGTTAACATTTTATATTTTCTTCAAGGCATCTTCCCTCATAAAATGTGCATATATTATATAAGTACTTTGTTCTTTTATTTATGTATAGACATGGAATATCATTATGTGGCTTGCTTTTTTTACTTAATATTTTTGAATGTTTAGCCAGTTTAACAAATTGATATACTTTTGAATGGTTGTCTATTTACTGTATGGGCGCTCTGTAAAATTTGCTTATTTGATCCTCTATTGTTGGATATTAGGTTGTTTCCTAAATTTTTCTTCTATAAACAGTGCTGAGATGAATCCCCATATACATACATTTGCAAGTATCTGATGATTTTCTTAGGATAAAGTATAAAAGGGGATAGGAACTTTTCTTCCAAACTGGGTAGGCCACTAACGTTCAGTGAGGCAATTTCTCCTGTCTCCCTTTGCAGGATTTCACGCCCCTACCATGTCCTGGCCTGTGGCAGGGACCCTCATGGTTGAGCCCACTGAGTCGGAGGACAAGGCAGAGCTGGACAGATTCTGTGATGCCATGATCAGCATTCGGCAGGAAATTGCTGACATTGAGGAGGGCCGCATCGACCCCAGGGTCAATCCGCTGAAGGTGCGTAGGCCCTGGAACTTTGCTTGAAATGTTCCTTAAACTAGAAAATGATGTCTGGACAGTGTACCAGCACCTCCTGAACTCTCAACTGAGGATGATACTCTTCCCTAGAATAAGGTAATTCTTCTGAGAAGATGCAGTTGTTACTCTGAAGTTTGCATCGTCTTGAACAGCATAGCAGTTACTCAAGGATGATGTGGTTGTGGAAACTGTCCACAACTGTCTAGTTGGAGAATTTGTAACATTCTGTGTCTCTGTTTGATGTACTGTAGTGAGATTATGGCATAAATAAAATTTACATATTCACATCACAAACTCTGCACAAGCACACATTCTTATATTAGAGCAGTTATCTCTGAGAAAACTGTATTGGCATTTGGGCTGGATGTTACAATGTTTACGCTCCATGTTGGGGAAAAGTTGGTTGGGCATTACTCTACCTCTTCTAAAACATGTTAATTGTATATGTGGTCAGAGTCCTAAGTTTCTTGTTAGTCCAGATATTAAGCTGGAAGATCAGGAGTGGAGAATACCATGAAGGCTGTGGTTGTGTCTTCATGGCTATAACCCAGAGAACAAGTCTGATATGCTGCAGCAGCTGGGGCAGGTTCCCGAACTGCCTGCCTGCAGGAGAGGGCAGGGACCAGTGACTTGCAGAAGGCAGGCACCTCTCTAGAGGTGAGTTCACAGAGTCATGGAGGCATACAAGATGATTATGCTTACCACCATTTATTTCCCTTTTCTCTCTGAAGACTCCTGCTTCTTTCAGGATTTAGGTGATTTAGGCTATTCTTTCAATGGCAATAAACATTTCAAAGAGCATAATAGTTATAATACAAGTGGGTAATACTGCTCATAGGATGATATCAGATTTTAAAATGAGCCAAATTATGTTATATGCTGTTTGTCAACATATGCAGTAATAGTATAAAAGCATGATGAGAATGGTAAACACCAAATTCAGAAGAGTGGTTAGCACTGGGAAGGGGATATACAGGCAGCTCCAAACGTGTAGGTAATTTTTTCTAAAAGGTGAAGCAAATATGACAGAATGCTCATTAGACTCTGCTGGGTGGTAGATGTGATGATTATTACCATAACATTCTGATATTTAAAATATTTCACAATTACAAATCACATTCTACCCCCTAAATTGAAAGAAAACCACAGCTTTCTCTGCCTGGGCTCCTGTCAGAAGCTTGAGGGTTGAGGTGCAGGGTGGGAGAAGAAAAGAGTGTATTGCTCTGACCCCTCCCCTGTCCATATCTCTGTCTCAGATGTCTCCACACTCTCTGACCTGCGTTACCTCCTCCCACTGGGACCGGCCTTATTCCAGAGAGGTGGCAGCGTTCCCACTCGTAAGTTCTCTGAACCTGAATGTGCCAGCTGGGAAGGCACGGGCCAGCTCCTATCCTGAGGGGTGTACACTCTTAGCCTCCTCATTATAGAAACTGTATGTGGCGCACCTTGTGAAATAAGGGCCTTGACGAGGAACGAGGAGCAAAGAAATTGGCTTTCAGAGGCGAGGTCATACAGTATCAACTACAGGTCTGGGAACTCATAGGGAACACAGTGGGGGAAAACTGAATACGAGTCCTGCCCAGTGGACCGATGTGCTTCCCTCCACCGTGGGACAGGGAGATGGCGCCCAATGCAACCTTCCTTTCCTTTCTGATTCTTATATGGAGGAGAAGGTTCTGTGTAGTCTGTTTGAGTGAGATAGGGAGAAGGTTCAAAATGTGCCAAATTATGCTATGTGCGGTTTACGGATCTGTGCAGTAATAGTATAAAAACATAATGAAAATGGTAAATCCTGTATTCAGGATAATGGTTGTCATTGGAGAGGAGGGCAAACAAAATGATGCTTTTTTTTTTTTTTTTTTGAGACAGAGTCTTGCTCTGTCACCCAGGCTGGAGTGCAGTGGCATGATCTCGGCTCACCGCAAGCTGCACCTCCCAGGTTCATGCCATTCTCCTGCCTCAGCCTCCCAAGTAGCTGGGACCACAGGCGCCTGCCACCACACCTACCTAATTTTTTGTATTTCTAGTAGAGACAGGGTTTCACCATGTTAGCCAAGATGGTCTTGATCTCCTGACCTCGTGATCCACCCACCTCGGCCTCCCAAAGTGCTGGGATTGCAGGCGTGAGCCACCGCGCCCAGCTGATGCTTTTTTTTTTAAATTGTTCAAACTTTTATTTTATGCACAGTATGAGAAATTAACTTTTTTTTTTTTTTTTTGAGACATAGTTTCTCTCTTGTTGCCCAGGCTGGAGTGCAATGGCACAATCTCGGCTCACCGCAACCTCTACCTCCTGGGTTAAAGCAATTCTCCTACCTCAGCCTCCCAAGTAGCTGGAATTACAGGCATGCGCCACCATGCCCAGCTAATTTTGTATTTTTAGTAGAGATGGGGTTTCTCCATGGTCAGGCTGGTCTCGAACTCCTTGACCTTAGATGATTCGCCCACCTCGGCCTCCCAAAGTGCTGGGATTAAAGGCGTGAGCCACCGTGCCTGGCAGAGAAATTAACTTTTAAATAAACTGAATTTATGGAAAATGACATGGCAAATAAATTAGACATATGTTAAAAGAGAAGGTCAGCTAAATATCCAAACTTAAGGATATAATGGGCATAGATAAACGTAGATTCCAAAGTCTTCTTTAAGAGGTTGAAGTCCTTCAAACACAACTTTGCTATAAACGATCCAGAGATCAACAGCACATGGGGATGCTTAGCAGGGGTGGTGATCAGGGATGTTTCCTGGGAGATGCCTCGTTTTTTCACTGGTAACGTAGGGTTGGATTTTAGGTTCTCAGAATATTTGTTGGGCTGATGGTGTCTTAGGCTGTGGGAATAGCATTGCCCACTCCTTTTCCCTAAGAGAAACCTCTCAGAACATCTCACAGCATTTCCATCTTTTGTCCTTTGCAGCCCTTCGTGAAACCAGAGAACAAATTCTGGCCAACAATTGCCCGGATTGATGACATATATGGAGATCAGCACCTGGTTTGTACCTGCCCACCCATGGAAGTTTATGAGTCTCCATTTTCTGAACAAAAGAGGGCCTCTTCTTAGTCCTAAGTTTAAGGGACTGATTTGATGCCGCTCCCCAGATCATTTGATAAGCAAGAAAGATTTCATCTCCCACCCCAGCCTCAAGTAGGAGTTTTATATACTGTGTATATCTCTGTAATCTCTGTCAAGGTAAATGTAAATACAGTAGCTGGAGGGAATCGAAGCTGCTGGTTGGAAGATGGATTTGCTTTGGTATTCTGCTTCCACATGTGCCAGCTGCCTGGATTGGGAGCCACTTTGTTTTTTGCATAGAAAGTTTTAGGAATTTTAACTTTTAATGTGGCAAGTTTGCAGACATCATAGAGGCTAGCCTGGAGACTTAATAGACATATATTTGTTCCAAAAAAGTCCGCATGGACTGTGCCATCTGTGGGAAATCCCAGGGCAAATGTTTACATTTTGTATACCCTGAAGAACTCTTTTTCTCCTAATATGCCTAATCTGTAATCACATTTCTGAGTGTTTTCCTCTTTTTCTGTGTGAGTTTTTTTTTTTATCTGCATTTATTAGTATTCTAATAAAAGCATTTTGATTGGAAGAATGCCTTTTTCTTGGTCTGCTTTATAGTGTTACCACCATTATACCCTAGGTTCAGTGGGAGCTGAAGGGCAATGAGACCAACCAACCCAATAGCCATTGTTACATCATCAGTTTTGCCTTTGATGGCTGAAGAAACAGTTGTCATCTTGGTCAACAGTGAAGGCCACTTTGGCCCTTTTTGTTAGAATTGAGTTAGACTGCATGTAACTGTACTCCAGCTATGGAAGTTCAATCAAATAGCAATTTATCTTTTCTCATTTAAGTCCAGAGGTAATAAGCCAAGCACTGGTTCTCCTTCAGTTTTCCTGCTTTGCCTTCCTTTGCATATAGTTTTCATCCGCATGATCTCAAGATGGCTATTGCAGTTTCAGGCATCACATACCCATTCTAGTCAGGATTAAAAGAGAAGAGCAAAGACCATGCGCAATGGCTTACGCCTGTAATCCCAGCACTTTGGGAGGCTGAGGCGGGAGGATCACCTGAGGTCAGGAGTTAGAGACCAGCCTGGCCAACATAGTGAAACCCCATCTCTACTAAAAATACAAAAAATTAGCTGGGCATGGTGGGGCACACCTGTAGTCCCAGCTATTTGGGAGGCTGAAGTGGGAGAATTTCTTGAACCCAGGAGGCAGAGGGTTGCAGTGAGCTAAGATTGCACCACTGCACTCCAGCCTGGGCAACAGCGTGAGATCTTGCCTCAAAAAAAAAAAAAAAAAAAAAAAAAGAGCAAAAGGCAGATTCCATCCAAGTCTGCTTCTTTTGAAATGTTTTCCAATAGGTTCCACTCAGTAACTGCTGCAGCTGGCCAAAACCAGTTCAAATCTCACTCCCAGCTACAAAGAAGTGTGGGGAAGTATTTTACCTGGGCATGTTACTGCCCCAAACAAAATCAGGAGTATGTTAATTTTTAAAAAGTGGGGGGAGAATGGGTTTTAGGTCGGCAACTAGCATGCCTGTCACAAATGACTTTCCCCTAGAAGTAGCAAATGCTCTAATCCTGACTACTTGGTTCCTTGCATGGCAGCTTCCTCCAGCATTACTCAGTATCCCTAGGCTTTAATGCTAGTGGTCTGGACATAAGGTCTGGGTGCTCTATTGAATTATCTGCAAGTATTCCACTTACTTTTATATTTAAAAAGTTTATACAACAATGTAGCCTAACAATGCAGTACAGAAGTGATAGGCCTTTTTAACATAATAATTAAATGATATCTATTAAATAGTGCATCTCAGGTATCAGACAATTTTTTTTTTTTTCTCAGACAGAGTTTCACTCTTGTCACCCAGGCTGGAGTGCATTGGTGCAATCTCGGCTCACTGCAACCTCTGCCTCCCAGGTTCAAATGATTCTCCTGCCTCAGTCTCCAAAGTAGCTGGGATTACAGGTGCCCAAAACCACGCCCGGCTAATTTTTGTATTTTTATAGAGATGGGGTTTTGCCATGTTTGCCAGGCTGGTCTCAAACTCCTGACCTCAGGCCTCCAAATGCTGACATCAGCCTCTCAAGTCCTGGGATTACAGGCATGAGTCACTGCGCCCGGCTTGATATTCTTTTAAGTGTTTGAAATGTACTACCTCATTTGACCCTCACAATGTTCCACTCTTACGCATGTGGGGAAGGGTATGAAGAGATGCCTAAAGTCCCACTACCAGTCAGTAAGAGGGAGGGGCAGAATTTGGACCCAGCCTGACTGCCTCCAGTACCTATCGGCCAAAACAGGATACCCTGCTGCCATGGGAACTGCAGACCTGGGGACTCTGCCCTTCCTGAGTTGGAAACCATGCTTAGTGCAAGCTAGCCATCAGGTCCTGGAGCGGCCCCTTCTTAGGAAGGACAAGTGTATGACAGTTAATAATGGAAGCAAACAGCAATTCTTTTCTACTTACTTTACACAGTGTTTATCGTTGAGTGCCAAGGTTGTTTCCATGGCTATTATCCATTACTTACCCCTAGAACATAGCAGAGCCAAACACAGGCGATTAAGAGTCAAGTGAATCACTTGTTCTTCACTATTAATTGCTCATGTATTACCTAATGCTTGTGCCAGTCTTTCTCTGCCCCGGGTCTCATCCTGAAAGGCACCGCCCCTTGGAACCCTGTCCCCAGCCACCTTGCTTTGCTAGTCGTTCTCTGTATTTCATCCTAGCCATTCTCTGTATTTCATTTCAAAAATGCGTTCTTCACATCCCCATGAAATAGGCTTTCTCTGTTATCTTCTATCTTGGCCCTTGGTTTGCTTCCTCCTGTACCCTGGGCACAATCATAATTAATTTTTTAATGTTCACTCAGTTTTTGTCTCTATGTTTTGGTCTCTCTAGCATATCTTACCCATTGTTGGATTCTCAGTGCTGAGCCAGGGCCTTCCAAGTAGTATGTGTTCAACAAATAAAGAGAAATATGGGCCAGTCGTGATGATTCATGCCTGTAATCCAGCACTTTGGGAGGCCAAGGCCGGTAGATTGCCTGAGCTCAGGAGTTCGAGACCAGCCTGGCCAACATGGTGAAACCTCGTCTCTACTAAAAATACAAAAAACTAGCAGGACATGGTGGTCCCAGCTACTCAGGAGGCTGAAGCACAAGAATCGCTTGAACCTGGGAGGCAGAGTTTGCAGTGAGCAGAGATCACTGCAGTCCACCCTGGGTGACAGAGCAAGACTCTGTCTCAAAAAAAAAGGAAAAGAAATATGGTGGGCTGGGCACAGTGGCTCACCCCTATAATCTCAGCGCTTTGACAGGCTGAGGTGGGTGGATCACTTGAGGTCAGGAGTTCAAGACCAGCCTGGCCAACATGGTGAAACCCTGTCTCTACTAAACATATAAAAATTAGCTGGATGTGGCAGCATGTGCCTGTAATCCCAGCTACTGGGGAGGCTGAGGCAGGAGAATCACTCGAACCTGGGAGGCAGAGGTTGCAGTGAGCCAATATCGCACCACTGCACTCCAGCCTGGGCGACAGAGCGAGACTCCGTCTCAAAAAAAAAAAATTATAAGGTTTTTGCTTTTTTTTTCTTTTAAGCTCATCAGCTATCATTAGTGTATGTTACGTGCGCCCAAGACAATTCTTCCAATGTGGCCCAGTGAAGCCAAAAGATTGGATACTCCTGCATATTATTGTTCCTATGGGAAGTATCCATACAAATTCATACAAACAAATGATTATTTTCAACCTACATCAAGAAAAAGATCATGGCTTTCATTCTTTCACAAATTAACTTCTGGAACAAAGCTAGGGATTGCATGCAATTTCTTCTGAATTCAGCAGAATCTATAGAGGATTGAAAAAAAACCTACAAATTCCTTTTTGAGTGGAACTGCATGAAAGGAAACAACTCTGGTTGCTGTAAGAGGTCTAGGGTTTTCAGAACTGACCCAAGTGAAATTTTAGTGTGCTTTTCATTTGTCTGTTGCATTGTTGCATTTAGTTTAACCTCACTAGTAAAGTATTTGTACAGTTCTGGGTGTAACATTTTAAATTTCCTACAAAAGAGTTGTGAAGAAAATTTGAAAAATCAAAACAAAATACTCAGTGAGACTCAGAAGATTTAAGTGCATTAAATAACAACCAAAGTCATAAACTCCCAAAAAGCAGGGTGGAATCCAACAGCTCCAGGAGTGAGGTCAGTCATCCTAAAAAAATGCAGACTTCCCCCATCGGTGTTGTCACTGGGAACTTGATCTAAAACTGCTAGTCGCAGCAGAAGCAGCAAGCAGCCAAAGTTGAACTAGATGCAGATTCTTTCTTGAAAAGTCTGGCATAAAGAATGGGGAAAAAAAAAAGACAACTTGCTTGTGTTCAAGACATTTCATCCAATATGAACTACAAAGGAATATCAATGTTATGCAAAATACAAACTCTAGATGTTTTTATTGGTTAAAAGAAGCTTACTGGTTATATGCATTCCAAAATACAGTGAAGAAAATTCTATCCACGGACAAGGCAGTTGGGGTAGGCTATTAAATAAACTTGCAAATAGCAAAAGAGTGAGTATAGTCTCTGGCATCAGACATGTTGGAGGGTGGGAATGGAGGGTTAGCTAGCAACATTTTTTTTTTTTTAAAGACTGCCACCAAGGTTGGAGTACAATGGCACAATAAGGGCTAACTGCAGCCTTGACCTTCCTGGCTCAAGCGATTCTTCTTCCTCACCCTCACAAGTAGCTGAGACTACAGGTGCATGCCACCATGCCCAGCTAATTTTTTTTTGAATGTTAGAAGAGATGAGGTCTTACTATGTTGCCCAGGCTGGTCTCAAACTCCTGAGCTTAAGCAATCCTCCCGCCTTGGCCTCCCAAAGTGCTGGGATTACAAGTGTAAGCTACTGCATTGGTCCAGCATCACTATTTCTGTATTTTGTCACAAAGACAGCTGTTAGTCTGGGACAGTGTCTGCCATTCATAGAAGTGCTGTCAATCTGAAGCCTAATGCTACTAAGCATGAGGCTATTTTGGGAGAAGAGGCTGAACGAAGGTGCTATAGTTTCACAGGCTCAATATAGTCCTTAAGCAATTATTTCCCAGAAGTAAGTTGCATTTAAGAATGAAGCTTGGCCAGGTGTGGTGGCTCATGCCTGTAATCCCAGCACTTTGCGAGGCCGAGGTGGGTGGATCAGTTGAGGTCAGGAGTTCAAGACCAGCCTGGCCAACATGGTGAAACTCCATCTCTGCCAAAAATACCACACACACAAAAAGTAGCTGGTCATGGTGGTGCACACCTATAGTCCCAGCTACTCAGGAGGCTAAGGCAGGAGACTCGTTTGAACCCGGAAGGTGGAGATTGCAGTGAGCCAAGATCACACTACTGCACTCCAGCCTGGGCGACAAGAGCAAGACTCGGTCCCCCACAAAAAAACCGTCTGTAGAATAAGGAGGAAAACACAACAGAACTTGAAACCACATGGCCATAAAGGTTCCTAGACCTGGATTACCATTGTGCCCCTAGGATAGGGGGGTTTCAATACAACGCCTGGGCAAGGCCAAGGCTGATGGCTCAATGCCTGT